TATCAGGAGGGAGCATTGGATAGCAAGTTTTTCTCATGAAATGTTGGTTCTCAAGATCTGTCAGGGTGATCTTGTCCTTTATAGGTCGTTGAGATGACAGCCGCTGGAGTGCGGGATGGTCACTTCATTGACCCTGTCATGAAGCGAATAAGATACGATAAGGATGTGGAGGAAGTTGATACATTACGAACCTTTCAGGATTATGAAGCTGTGGGGATTTGCATATTGCAAAACGTTTGCTATTTTAAAAAATGTTTGTTTTAGTCACTGCAAAAGAGTAAGCTGTCGGATAAGAGTCCAGCTAAGGAGAAACCACGAAAAGTCACGAAAAGGATGCTTGTTGAAGCGAGTGAGTGAACGTTATAGAGAAAATTTGTTGTTATTATCAGATATTGGTTTCTGGTATTGCTTATATTAGTAACTTAATTACCAAATAGTGGGTCCATTAGGTGCATCTCAAAGCAGTTTACAGAAGCCAAGATTTGATGAGCTGTAGAACCATACGCTCGCTACCACATTATCCTTAGTAGTATCCTGTAATTTTGACAAAAATATCTCATTCATACAGTAATTTCAAGAAACCTTTCTTCAGGTGCTGTTCCCGAAGTTGATTCCAAACAAATACGTAAGGACTCTCCTTTGACTGGAAGAACTGTTTGTGTCCTGTACGGTACCGACGAACGGTTACGTAAACGTCTTATGGAGATTTTAAAGAAGTATGGAGCAAAAGTGGTCGCGAATCCGAGTAAGCTTAATTTTGAAAGCCTTTCCTTCATATTTTACTGCTTGCTTGTCCAGTTTATATGCGGAGTTTCAGCGGCTGATATGAGCTTGGTGGTGGCTACAACGGATAAACACCCTAAGACAAGGGCTCAGGTGCAAGCTGGCGAAGTTACGGTGCTGAAATCAAATTGGGTGTTGAGGTGTGAAGAGGAAGGCCGAGTCGTGAAATGGTAAGATTACTCTTGATTTTTAATTTTACGTTTTTTAACCTCAAGTCATTTTTGAAATTTCATCTCATTTGCTTTCATCTTCTTTTCTTAAAATGTGCAAAATGTTTGTGAGATAGCTTATTGAATTTTATCTCGTCTTTATGCTTCATCCCCTATTTCAGTCCCCAGATATTTTTGGATCCCATCTTGGCCCCAAAAGAAGTAGCGACAGTTGTTAGTTATTGTTGCGATGCGTAAATCAAATGGTGACCCGCTGTGGG